AGGAATAAATGAATATATTTGAAACTCAACCCATCCCCTCAAACAACTCATCCTCCTGTTCTAAATGATTTTTTTCTCTAGTTTCATATCTCAAACACCTAAACAAAAATTTAGGAGTATCTTTATTTTACTCCCACTTTTTGTGCCCCAGATCCAGTCCACCCTTCCAATCAAGTCCTGTTGATCTTTTGTCCCTGTGATTTTTTTCAGATGCTTCTTCTCTTCCTTAGGCATGGCCCACATCATTGGTCTGTTCCGCACCTTTGATCTTTCTGTGTTTTCCTGACATACTAGAAGTGATGCCAGACTATGTCTCTAAACACTTGTTTTCAAATTTTATGCCCCGAAAGGGTACATTCCTTTTAGGGACTGACAAGTATAGAAATATTGCTATGTACAAATGATGCTAAGTAGAAGCATCAAGAAGTGAATCTGACTAGCTGTTAGTTACTAATCAACAGTGAGGTCTTATGTGTGCTGCTGTTAAAACCTGTATCCTTGAATTTCATCCAGAAATCACTAATTTAAATATAAACTAGTTGAAGATGTGACCTTGGTCATCTGGTGGTATTTAATTCTGAAATATTAATTGCATCAGTCCATGTTAAGCCTTTAAAGAATTTGAGAGATGAGGTCTGACTCTTTCTAGCATTGTGCGGGGGACTCACCATGTTAGCTCTAGTGGCCATTTGAAGTGATTGATATGCAATCTTTTTCACCCGGAGATTGATAATACTCTAGGTATTGTTAGCATAGTATAAATATCCTCTGAAAACAGAGTTTTGCCATGGCTAGCGTGCTCAGTGGTTAGAGTGACAGCCTGGGCACCAAAGGGTTGTGGTCAAGGACAAGTACCAGGGTTGCAGGTTCGATCCCTGGCTCTGGTACGGGAAGCAACCAATCGTTATGTCTTTCTCACATTAATGTTTCTCTTTCTCTTTTTCTCTCACCTTCCCAGCCTCCTTCCACTCTCTCTGAAGAAATCAATGGGGTGCAGAGGAGGAGGGAATAACCCTCCAGTGAGGAATAACAACAACAAAAAAGGATAGTTTCTCTTATAGCTTTTCTGACTGAACTTATTTCACTTAACATAATATTTTAAAAGCTAAAAACCATGTGATTTCACTCATATATGCAATATAAAACTGAAACTCATAAACAGACAACAGAATAGTGGTTACCAGAGAGGGGGATAAAGGAGGCCAAATATAGGATGACAGATTATTATTTAACTTTGGGTGGTGAACATACAATGCAATATACAGATTATATATCATAGAATTGTACACTTGAAGCCTACATAATCTTATTAATCAATGTCACCCCAATAAATTTAATTAAGAAAATGAAAAGATTCCTTTTTCCTGATTCTTTGCTCACCGAGAGAACTGCAATTTGGTCTCCTGTCAATCCTTTCCTTTGAGAGAACTTTATAGGCAGCTTTCCCAAGAAAAATGAAGCTGTTGACATTATCACTTACTAGTATAAATCAGGCTCTTGCAAAGTTGGTTTGTGTGAAATGATCTCCCAAATTAGTTCATTCTCAAATCAAGTGACAAATGTGAGATGCTGGATGCTCAGTGTGTATTTGTTGCAGATGGGTCCAGAGAAGGCTGTGATAGGCTGTTCCTTTGATCACCCCCAGTGATTCATGCTCCCTGGTGCTCACATTCTGGTGTAATTGCAGCCCTCATTGCCTCTGAGTTTGACCATGTGTCTAACCTTAGCCGGTGGAACATCAGCAGACAAAACATGAGTGCAGGCTTGCTTTGCATTTAACTCGGAACTTGTCCTCATGGACCCCTTTTAGAATCCAGCTTCTGTGCAGAAGCCCAAGCAGCTATGTGGAGAGGTCACACAGAAAAGAAAGAGGACCCTGCTAAAACCAGTTTGGCTCAGTGGATAGAAAGGTCCCAGGTTCAATCCTGGTCAAGGACATGCACCTTGGTTGCGGGCACATCCCCAGTAGGGGGCGTGCAGGAGGCAGCTAATCGGTGTTTCTCTCTCATCGATGTTTCTAACTCTATATCCCTCTCTCTTTCTCTCTGTAAAAAATCAATATTTTTTTTTAAAAGAAAAGAGGACCCTGATACAATCCCAGATGAACTCCCAGCCGTTAGCTGACACCAACTCTCAGTCACGATGAGCAATGCCACTCGGAAGGAACTTCCCTTTATCCCAGTGTCCCAGCCCTGACACAGTTTTTCCTTCTCGTAATACTTTTGGCAATTATACTCTAACTAGAGGCCCAGTGCACAAATTAATGCACTGGGGAGGGGGGTGTCCCTCAGCCCAGCCTGCACTCATCTCATCCCTTCTCCCATTTTCTTCCTTCTTGTTCAGAATGGCACATTGATATGTCCCCATGTCTGCTGTCCTAGGAGGTGCTTCTTTCTTGCAGGTGCTCACTGACTCTTGATGCCTCTCCCACTCGGGTTCATGGAAGGGAGACCACATACCCTCTCCCAACTCCAACATGAGGAGGGGATGCTCTCTGAATATTACACTCCGAAGATGAACACCCAAGCGAGCCTGTCTGCTCCTCCACTTTTCCCTCTCGCTTTCTTACACAGTGGAAGAGGGTGGGGGTGGACAGTGGCTGGTGACTAGTGCAGCAGAGCTGAGCTAGAAGCACTAACATTAGACTGTGTTAGGTCCAGGTGGCCAGGAACTGCTTGCAGGAGGAAGGGGTAGTAATCTGCTTGGCTTCCTGTCCTGGAGACCAAGGACTTCCTAATTGACAGTCTAGTCTTGCCTAGGCTCAGGGGCAGATAAGTTTTACTTCAAAATTTATCTTTGGGTCCCTGCTCTTCCATTTACCAATGTCTGACCTTGGACCTTAATCTCTAGGTTTCCCTTTTCTCATCTGTGTAGTGGGGATATAACATGAATTCAACTTATCCTTCTGGACAGCCCCTCCTGACCATCTTGGATCCCACCTTTTGGGAATGCCTGATTCTGGCACCTAAATGCTCACATCCTAGTATGACACACCTTTAAAAAGAATTGAACCAGGTTGTCTGCATTTGGCCTTCTCTCTCCTCACTTTCTGCCAAAACTCAAGACACTCTCCACAGCTTCCTCCTAGATCTCAAGGTATCAGGCCTGAACTCATCATACAGGAATCTACCCCAGACCCACTGCTCCTGCTTAAAACTGAGGACTCCTCTGCAGCCAAACCAAAGCTGGCCCCTCACAGTTTGGCTCTATGTTAGGAGAGAGAATGCTTTCTTCCTAAAGTAGTCTTTCCTATCCCTTTGCCTACATTTTACCTAATTTTGTAACCAACCCTGCTTCAAATTTCATCAGTCAAAATGCATTTGGGTCACCCAATATCCTCATTTTTAATTATCTTTTTTTTTTTTTTTTTTGAGTATGGGAACTCTAGTCAGTTGAATCTTAATAGGATTTTTTATTCTACAGTTACCTCTTATCATTTTTGGACTAGGTATTACATTTATTGAGGACAACTGGAGGAAATTTGTAACCCCAGAAGTTTAAAAGAAAAATGAATTCATGAAATTTCCATGAAGATTATAATGGATTACACATCGGTATTATGTTAAATAACAATTCAACACACCACTATTAAGTCCAAATTTTAATCTATAAACTGTTATTAGAACTACATATGTGAATAAGATATGTTGCTGCCTGTGAAAGCACAAAATTTAATTGCAGTGATTTTTAACATTGTAAGTGACATCACAAAAACCCACTTAGGGAACCTGCTAAAACTCATAGCCCATTCATAAAATGTTGAATTGCTTGAGAGCTTAAATATCTTAAATATCGTTATATTCTTCTGTCCATTTCTATTAGGTTTGTGTACCAAATCCTTTAGAAAGGTAGTATTTTTGTTTTTTATTTTTGTGTTGTTTTTTTAAAAAATATATATTTTATTGATTTTTTACAGAGAGGAATAGAGAGCCAGAAACATCGATGAGAGAGAAACATCAACCAGTTGCCTCCTGCATACTGGGGATGTGCCTGAAACCAAGGTACATGCCCTTGACCGGAATCGAACCTGGGACCTTTCAGTCCACAGACCGACGCTCTATCCACTGAGCTAAACTGGTTTCGGTAAAAGGTAGTATTTTTGACTGGTCCATCTTGGCTAATGCCACTCATGTGAGTAAAGATACTTCGAGTCTCCAGCTGAGCCTCCAGATTAGAAACTGACAGGCCATACTCACTGTGCTCTGTTCTAACTAGTGAGCCACATAACTTATAAAATACTTGTTTTATGCCATGAAGTTTTGGGATGGTTTGTTATCGTAGCAATAGTAAGAAAATATTGCTATTTTTTTAGGTTCAATGTCTATAAGAAACTCTATGCTTTTCCATAATCCTTATGGATTTAGGACCAGAGTTTAAGAATTAATTCTATAACTTTAAAACTAGTTAAATTCACAAAAACAAAACAAAACAAAAAAAACTGGACATTTTACGGTTCTAAGTCTAGTAGCTAGTATCACAGTCGTGAACATAATTTTACCAAAAGTTATACATAAAATCTTGTTGCCAATATTTCCTATGATAAAATCTACTTATTATAATTTCCAATGTCTATAAAAATAAAATAATATCTACACAGAGATTCACAGAGGAAACACATATTCAACTATACTGATGAAGGAAGTTCAGTCTTGAAGTTGCTAAGGGACTAAACAATTGTCTATCTTGAAACTGATGGAAAGAAAGTATCTCTGGCTATTCAATTTTCAAATTGCTAGGCAACAGTCCTATCAGAATAAAGTAAATTCTCTAAAATAAACCGGATGAGGTTTCTGTATTCAGACAGCTGCCACCAGGTTCTGGTGCTTCTAGCTGGGTGAGTTACAGAGCTCTTAGGTAACTGTAAGATTTGGTTTCCTTTTCAAGATGGTATATGACTCCATTAGGCAATTGTTCTATGTTGCACTCAGGGTTAATAGGCAGAAACATTTAAAAGAATTTACTTATCCTGAGACACTACTATAAAAAAAATTATGCAAAGGTACATTTAAAGAAAAGAAGTGTTTATTTTAGGCCATCCACTAGGATCATAATAAATAATGCAATATACTAATAACAGATGTTCTCATGCATTTATATTTATAAATTTACAAAAAACAAAACTGGCTTACAGGGCTGTTGGGACAAGTTTAGAAGAGTGTATTTGGCAATACAGTAAGAGTTAACAGTGTTAAGACTATTAAACAGATTCTCTTTACTATTTTTTTAAAAAATACATTCTCTATATATCTGTGAATAAATGGTAATGTTCCTTTATAGTTTCTACTTTTTATAAACATGCCAGAGCTAAGCCAATTGTCAAGAGATCCAAGTTGATAATGTGTTATTTATTAGTATTTCTAATGGAAAACAGATTTTTAAAAAGAAATAAAAGTTAACTCTGCATTTAAATATGGAGGCTGATATATTGCAAGCCAGAATCATTTAAACAATATAATATACCTGAATGAAATAAAACCTCAAAATAGAAGTTTATAAATAGTAACTTTGATACTCTGTACAATGCTGTAGTATTAAATGTTTGTAATTTGATAAATGACCAATTATCCAACTGCAAAAGTGGTGAACTTTGATTAAAGCTTAATTTTGCTAGTTAATTTCATACACAAAGAGTTAAAATAGGGTAAATTTTAACATAAATAATTTAAACATATCTTAAACACTGAAAATGTGTTATGTTATTTACAGTTAGTCAGTGATACCAGTGTATAGCCAATTGCCAGTCTTACAACCCTCTTTCAACATCTGCTAGAATAATCTTCCTTTTAAATACTTATGAAAATCAGTTTAGTGAAGGAGAGCGATCTGTGGTCCAGAGTAATTCGATGTATGGCCATTTGGTTTGAAGACAGCGTTTAATAGGAGTGTCATCTGTTTGTAGCATGGGATCTTCAAAACCCATAATAACTGCAGTCCCTTCCACATACATGACCTGTTGAACAAAATAAAGTTACTAAGGTAAATCAATATTCTCAGCAAATTCTTATGAGGGATACAAAATTTTTCATAGGCAAGCAAATAAGGCACTGCATATTATTTCATGTGAAACTTTACATATAATTTAATTATGACAGAAATTATGATCAAGAATATCTATTTACTGATTAACATGAAAATAAATTTGGAAACAAGATGGAAATACAGATTTCACTGCTAGGTGACCAGTTGATTTTTAGATTGTAAGTTTATGATAAGAAAAAGCATTTAAAAATCTGGAAGCACATTGTTTCTGATAAAAGAAATTTCATTCTTCAAATAATATATATCACTTGTGTTTTGATATTGAGGCTATTAGATGATCATGTTGCCCACAAAATAAAAAGCTACAATAAAAATATAGCTCTAAAAAAAAAAAAAATAGCTTTGTGTTTACAGACTTAATTTTCTTTTTACAATTTAAGCAATAAAATTCCATAGCTAAAAGCAATTTGGATGCCTGCCAATGAAATTTGCTATTTATTGTATTAAATATTTCTGAAATACTTCTCATGACAGTACTGTGTACGGTATGAAAAATTATGGAGAAAATACTGGAAAGGGTGTCAGGACAGAAACAAAATCAAAGAAAAAGGTTGATATATAAAACTAACCAGGTAATTTATATGTAGTGGCAATGATCATATCAAATATAAACTAGCAGGAGGGTATCAGAAAAATATTTCTGATTAATTTATAATAATCTTTTAGAAGTATCTATGTCAGCCCTAACTTATTATAAAGGCTCACTGTGTATATTAAGCCATTCGATCATTAATTTCTTTTTGTCCAAAGGAAATTCTGATTGTATAATTTAAAAGAAATAGATTTAGAATGCCTTCTTCCAAAGTACATATACCAATTTTTACATATTCAATGGCTGATATGCATGACTGCAATTATGTTCTTCCAATATAAAAGTCATAAGCTATTTGACTAAGGAACCAAAAGAAATCACATCATTACCCTTAAAGAGGAGTTTCCTTACAAGACACATTAAATATAGGAATAGAGCATATTATAGTAGTAGGTCAGATAATTTGGTTTCATGAATCTATTCCTTTTTTTAGGAAGCTCTAAAGACATACTTTAAAGTGAAATACTTTTTTTTTCGGGACCGGTTTGGCTCAATGGATAGAGCGTCGGCTTGGGGACTGAAAGGTCCCGGGTTCGATTCCGGTCAAGGGCATGTACCTTGGTTGCGGGCATATCCCCGGTAGGGGGTGTGCAAGAGGCAGCTGATTGATGACTCTCTCTCATCGATGTTTCTAACTCTCTATCTCTCCCTTCCTCTCTGTACAAAATCAATAAAATATATTTAAAAAAATAAATAAATAAATAAAAAATAAAGTGAAATACTTTTTTTAATTTTGGTTAATATATTAGTTGGCTTCTAGTTTTGATTAAATAAATTTACATTTAAAACTACAACTCATGCTTTTTAATTCCCCCAAGTAAAACTTTATTTTCTGAAAAGTTGTCTACAAAGAATACAATTCAAGTTAATTCTACTTAACTGCATGAAAAATCATGTTAAAAATTAAAAAGGATGTCAGGACAGAAAAATAAATCAAAGAGAAAGGTTGATATATAAAACTAACTGGGTGCTTTATATGCAGTGGCAATGACCATGTCAAATATACACTGGCAGGTGAGCATCAGAAAACTTTACTCTGATTCCAGCAGAGTGACCTGCCTCTGCGGCCGAGAGACGGTGCAGCCCCTGGATCACACTCCCTCCCACTTGGCCAGCTTTCTCCCTTTGTCTCCTCAGGCATTTTGAATGGTATCTTATCAGACAGTCTACCATATTTCTAGTTCCTAAGTAACTTCATAACATCCTACCTCTGAAACCTAATGACATACATGCTTTGCTCTATATTCTTACACTATTACCATGAGAATATTTCATCTTTGATTTCTGATCTTTTTGTTAGTATGTCAGATGCTTTTCATGAGCATGATATGAACTTACTATATACAGGTAGCATGACCACGGACAGGATTGGGAATCAGGAACTCAGTTCCAATCCCTGCTCTGCCAGTGACTTCCTGTGTGACCCTGGGTGAGTCACTTAATCTCCCTGTCTCAGATGCCTCATCTGTAAAATATGGATAATATTTGACTGACCTACCTTGCAGGGATTGTGTGGGTGAGTAGTGATTCTAAAGTACCTCTTATTACAAGGCTATGTAAAATTTCAAAATCTAGATGAAGCACTCATTAACACATCAGGAAATAGCATCCAAGTTTTCTTATTATCAAATTCGTACTATTTTACTATGTATATACAAATAAATTATTTTCTTGCGAAATGATCTTTAGACCTAATTTAATAACACATCTAGTTTATATTTTGTTAGGAATATAAGTCTCAGTTTTTTATTTGCTCTAACTAAAATTATGTATTTAGTGTACCTTACAATCTATTTTCTGTAGCCATCCTCAATTTAGATAATTATGAAACCAGCATGGTTGTTTCAAATGAAAAACCATGTTAGGCCTCACTCCTTCTAATATTAGCTATATATTTTTACTATGAGTGCTACCTGAATAAATGCAAACATAACAGATAGATGATATATGTAGACAAAGCTAATATTTAATTAAAAAGGGTATATCAGTGAGACCAACTTTGGATTAAACAAGATGAGTACATGGGAAGTAAGTCACCTTGATGCCTTTTTCAATGATTCATTTAAAAAGGAAGCAACAAAGCATAGTGGGTAAGAGTACAGGCTCTGAGGTAGAACTAAGTTTCAGTCCCAGTTCTGCCATTTAACTGTTCGACCTTAGCAAGGAGCGTACCTCTCTGTGCTTCAGTTTCCTCTTCTGTAAAATGGGGATATACAGACCATACTTACTTCATAGGGTAGAAGGAAACTTCAGGTAAAACAAAGTTCTTAATACAATTCCAGATAAATGTTCCATAAGTGCTAACTATTACGGTTATTAATCTAAATCCTTTAAAAGTATTTTTTTCATAAAAAATCTATTACCCCTTTCTATACATGAATTGATCAGCAACTTTCACTGGACTAAAATATAATGTTGACATAGTAATATCTACATAGTCAAGGATACCAACATGCACAGAGATGTAGTTATTTTGACACAGTGAAACTATAACTCCAAAATTCTAATGAAGATCTCAGAGTACTATATATTGGTTAAATCAAAATATGATCTGTTCTAAAATATCTTGTATTAGTAAAGAGACTCTTAGAATAATCTCCGTAGGTAACAATTTTGTGAGAATCAAACATTGTCATACATTCATATATTTATTTTATCAACCCAGGTGAAGACAAATCGCTATGCGAATAAACTGTCATACCTTTTCATTATAATTAGACTGCTTCAGTCCATTGTAGTGGTAGACAGTAAAAGACTCTGGACCACTGGAGCCCTATTAGAAATAAAGTTTAAAACTTTAAATTACATCTTTATATCAGACAATTTATAATTAGCAATTGAAAATAAAATGCAAGTTTCTGAAATCCTCATCCGTTGATGAAGGAATCACTAGATAAAGCAAGAAACTTAGATTTATACAGTTACTACCAGAAAGTCTAAAAGCTGAGATATTGCTTCTTGGGAAAGGAAAGTGGAAAAGTGTTGATTTTTGTGCATGTATTACTGTTAACTTCTTTAAGAACAGATTCTAAAATATAAAATTACTTTTGCAATACCATGTGCATGTATTACTATAACTTCTTTTTAAAGAACAAGGTTCTAAAACACAAAATTATTTCCTAAAATTTTATCTCTGACTTTTTTCTGGTTGTATATAATTTGCTTCTCTCAATAAGTGTGAAAGGACAGGAATATTAGGAATGTTACTTTTACTCAGATCACACACATATGTGCACCAATACTTCCAATTTGGCACACAATAATGAATTAGAGGTTTCCAAACCCACAATATTATTTGAGTATTGTGAACTATTAAGTAATGAAAATAGCAAGCATTGTAAGAAATGAAAACATAATTAGTGGTTAGAGACTTTAACAGCATTCAATAAAGAAAGGATTTTGTATAGAATAGATCATTATACTAAACTTTCAGAAAAACGCATCATTATTCCTACTGTCTTAACACTTGATTCTTGGTTAGCTAAAGATCAAGTTTTCAACTCTTTTAACCTAGCATTCAAGGCATCGATGAATGGTCTGATACCACTTCCCTCGAGGCCTGTGGCTGTCTTCCTGGGCCTATCCCTTGTCTTCCTGGCCACGTCTGATTAATATAAGGATGTGAATGTGACTTAGCTGAATGAGCATCTTCCTTGGAATTTCCCAATTGCAACTAAGGGAAGAGACCTGCTGGCAATTGAAAAACAATATGCTGAGAGAATGCAACTATTACAGAGAGAGGAAGGATATAAGAAAAAGAGACTGCCCCAGTCTTAGAAGACTTAGTGTTGCCTTTGATGCTTCTTCAAATCCTCTGAGCTACTCCTTCCTATTCATACTCACCCCTCCATTTAAGTCAGTTCAGTCTGGGTTTCTGTGATTTGCAACCAAGACTCCTACCATATAGGACCTAACCTACCTTTTCAATCTTACCTACCAACTACTCATCTTTCTGAATTCTCATTTTAGGTGGATATGTTACTCATTTTCCCATGAAAAGACCTTTTGTTAATGGCTCTTTGCATATTTACAATAGCTTTTACTCCTTTCTCAAATGCCCTCTTTCATTTTCAAGACCTTGTACAACCCTTGCTGTTTCTGCAAAGTTTTTCTTGAACACACTAGTTTGGTTGTTCATAATTTGGGAACCTTTATAACAATAATTTTTAAAAAATATTTTTAATTGATTTTTTACACGGAGGAAGGGAGAGAGATAGAGAGTTAGAAACATCGATGAGAGAGAAACATCAATCAGCTGCCTCCTGCACACCTCCTACCAGGGATGTGCCCGCAACATGCCCTTGACCAGATTTGAACTTTCAGTCAGCAAGCCAACACTCTATCCACTGAGCCAAACCGGTTAGGGAAGTAATTTTTTCAAAAATTAATTTGGAAAAGAATTATATTCTTTGCATAATCTCTTCAGGTGTTATTTTGAAAGGTAATTTAAATTTTCTATTTTTTAACTTTTCATTCTTATATTTGCAAATAAATCCAAGCTCTCTTATAACTTTTTTGTATCCTACACAAAATGCTTCACAATAAATAGAATAATCAACAATTTATTTCATCATTTCCTCAACTGTATATATGAATCAATAGAATTACTTAGGTAAATAATTTGGTTGTTGATTTTCAGAGTTAATGTACTTTAACTTACAATATAAATATTAACTGCGGTTGAATACAATTTATATTCTCTAGTTCCAGTCATTAACAACTGGCATAAAATACTGAAATATCAAAAGGTATTTTAACACAGTGGTAAAATGTTTAGTCTCTGAGGTCAGGTGATCTACACTGGACTCTTGTTTCAGCCACTTACCAACTGTATGACCTTGAACAATTTAAGTTTTATAATCCTAAATTTCCTCATTGCCAAAATAGGGAAAAATATTACCTAATTTATAAAGCACATAGTGCCTGGTGCATAGTGCATGCTTAATATGTGGTAGCTGTAGCTGCTGTTCTATTATAAACAAACTAGAGGCCCAGTGCACAAAAATTCATGCACTTGGGGGGGGGGGGGAGTATGTTCTTCAGCCTGGTCTGCATCCTCTCACAATCTGGGACTCCTCAGGTGGGGTCCTAGGTCTGGCCTATTGGGGCTTTCCTTCCCTGGGCTACAGGCAGCTGGCTTCACCCATTTGTGCAGCGCTGCCCCCCTTCCCTGCCACCGGTAGCCTCCCTCTGCAGGTGACAGGCTGGGGTGCAATGGCTTGGCTGACCTGGGCCTCCCTCTTTCTTTGCTGGGGGGTGGGGCCCGCCCTGCGAGGGGCTGTCTGCCTACCTGTTCACCCCTAACTGCTGGTCTGCCTACCTGATCAGCCCCAATCACTCTACCTGCCTGCCTGATTGCCCCTAACCATTTGCTTGGGGGCAGGACCAGCCCAGTGAAGGGTCATCTGCCTACATGATCTCCCCTAACCACTTGCTTGCCTACTTGATCACCCCTCATCCCTGGGCTGCCTACCTGATCACTCCTAATCACTCTGCCTGCCTGCCTGATTGCCCCTAACCACTTGCTTGAGGATGGGGCCATCATTGACTTCTGGTTGGTCAGCCTCTGGTCATTACTGGTCGTTACGACCAAGGGCTTTCATATATTAGGATTGCCTTGAAATGCTTATGATTCAAGTTTCTTCCCCTGCCTCTGTCTCATAGCAAAGAATGCACTTCCATAGCACCTTCTTTAAGCATCTGTAAAAATTACTCAAGTTAAATATTTCCTGGCTGTCCCTCTGACTAGTTTTATAACTTTACTTAATATACTCCTGGTGATTAAATGTTTACTGTAGTGTCACTCTAGTGATCTGTTAGGTACAAAGCAGTATATGAATAATGGCCAAAATGAGGAATAGTGTCTATTTACATTTTGTGACTATACAGAAAGAGGACATCGGTGGTGTTGAGATAGAAAAACAGGACTAGGCAGGCTGTCAGGGACAGGGACCATGTGGGGGCAAACAAAGGACCTAAAACAAGCGAGGTGGAACCTGGCTGGGAGTGAACAGTGCTGTCACTCCAGAACCTGAAGTGGCAGTCCTCAATTAGGTCCTCCCACAGATGGGAACTTGAATGTTGATATAATTGGATATTGCTGGAAATCCCTGAAGGGACCAATCAAAAGCTAGCAGATGAGGGCATGTGCTAGGGGATGGAAGCAGGCTGGGAGAGGTCAATGAGGGGAAAAAGGAGACATATATTATACTTTAAACAATAAAGAATTTAATTTAAGCCCTAACTGGTTTGACTCAATAAATAAAGCATCAGTTTGCGGCCTCAAGGGTCCCAGGTTTGATTCTGGTCAGGGACATGTATATACCTTAGTTGCAGGCACATCCCCAGGAGGGGTTGATCGATATTTCTCTCTCATTGATGTTTTTAACTCTCTATCCCTTTCCCTTCTTCTCTGTAAGAAAATCAATAAAATATATATTTTTAAAATTTTAATTAAAAAAATAAAAAAATATTTCTTCCCTTTGGGGGGTTGGGGGGAAGCTAGCAGAGTATATGAATATTCCCTAGACAAAAATCTTAAGCATATAACCCATTTTGAGTCCCCTTCCTGCAGTTGGAACCTCGGATAGCCCCCCCTCAAACCCAAAGCTTTGCTCCCCCTGCCCAATAAAGTTTTTTCTTCCCATCATTTTTGTCTGTGAATCCATTCTTTGGTTTTACAAGACAAAGAGCTTGGACCCAACCATATTTTGAGTTTCAGTATGAGCTCTGATCAGAAAAGTTCTGTGACACTGAGAGGTCTGAGCTCTTACAGGGTGTGAATAGGTAAGAATGACAGGTCCAGTGGGTCTCAAACTTTGGCTCCATCACATCAGAATCCTCTGGACGGAATGTTCAAATCCACTGCTGGGCCCTACCACCAAAGCTTCTGCTTCTCTAAGTCTGGAAGGACCTGAGAATTTGCATTTCTAACAAGTTCTTAGAGACCACACTTTGAGAACCCACTGCTCTATAGGGAATCAAGAGCAGAATCACATGCTTTGGTTGAGGAAAGAGCATGAACTACACAGGGGCAACGAGATGAGTCAACTTCAGAGGCTAAGTTGGTTGAGGAGAAAAATAGCAGGAAATAAGCAAGCAGTAAGGCATGAACTTGGAGAGAACAAACCGAATAAACAAATGGAAAAAGAGAAGGGGGTCCAGAATTCTCTTTAATTACCTCAAGGAATACTAAAATTTAAAAATTTCTTGAACTATTAAGTTCTTAGAATAATTATAAGCAGTATTATGTAATTTCTCTAAAACATTCTGACAGCAGCCATGAATAAATTAAAAGTAAAATTAATATTCCTTTACCTTCTTTCTAGTATTTAGAAAGTACTGAAAAGATACATACCAATCTATTGACACTAGTTACCTAAGAGAAGGAAAATAGGGGTGGGAATGGAAAGAGTCTTTCACTTTTTACTCCCCATACTTCTGAATTTTATCTTTATAAAAATAGTACCATTACCAGTATGTGTATATATTGGAGTATACAATATATTCCACTGCTCCTCTACTCATAGTTCTGTATGGCACATACATACCCTTCAGTCCTCTCTGTGCAATACTGCAATCAAACAACAACACTGCTTTTTTAGTCTCATATTTACATATTAGAACATTTTAAATGAGTAGGAAAAGTGCTAAAACAATCACAGATAATCATCCCAACAGGACAAAACATTTCTTCAATTATGTTACCTGATCAGGAAAAAATTCTTGAAGAAATGGACCCAATAGTATGATGCCTAATCCTTCTGGATCTAATTTATTCTTCATGAGATTTATACTGCAGGGAAAGTAAAAAAACAACAACAGTGGATAACAAAGGAAAAAGGCTTATTTTTCTTCTTTCATGATTAAGTTACTGGTACTATAACACTCTGACTGCCAAAAATCTTAAAAACTGTTCTTTTTAGTCTCTTAATGACAAATACACAGGAATGGCATCTGATTTGCCAAAACTTGGTTATTTTTAAACCAGAGTAATCTGTTACTATTTAGAATTTAAATTATGACGATGACTTTGGAATACTGTTCCTTATTAGGTAAAGTAATTTAAAAACTTAAGCTTCTAAGCACAGACTTATAATCCCCCAAAGGCAAATTCTCTTTGCTTCATAGGTATGCCTAAATTTAACAATCAAATGAGGCATTTAACTTAAAAATGTTTACTTTAAGCTCAAGGAGAAAAAAAGGAACAAGGTCAAAAGGAAATGGTGCATCAAAAACATCTCCTAAGAAGCTTTCCAGAACCAGTTGAGGTGGAGGCTTAAAATTCTTAGGCAATGTAACTTGAGGTAAGATAATTCTCCAAGAGTTAAGATATAGTGAATTATAAATGGTATGTGCTTGATTGTCCAGTATCAGCCTAACTGGATAGTGCTTTGCCACAGCCCTTACCACGTTGGTGTAGCCAAGGCTGGTGAAAGGTATTACATGTGATTAGAAAGAAGGCAGAGAAAAAAAGCAGTCTGGAGTTGGGTTTTTAAAATGAAAACTTTCTGAGAAGAAAATTTTCATTCTCCATATTATCTCCCAAACTATAAATGCCAAGTTAAATATGCCTTATTGTTAAAACATGCAAAGGATGTGACATTTTAAAAGGTCTGAGTAAGAGCAGGAGGTTATGACATGAAACAAATGAAGGCAAGGTCACACTTTATATAATCCATCTAACTTATTAACCCTAAATTTGGCCCTGTTAATTTATGGGCCATTACATATTATAAACCATAACAAAATACAGAGTGAATAACTGAATCTAATCTTTTAGTTACTTCTAGAAAGACAATCTGACTAACTTATACTAACTTTATAATTCAAGGTATGGTATGTATTTTAAGGAAACAAGAAAAATTTAATAATCTATGTAAGAATTGGGGGAAAAAATCACTTTTCCTTTTTCCTCCCTCCTGTTGTAAGAATTATCAATAACCAAAAATACCTGAGTTCAATTCTCTTTTGCAAATTAGGGCAATGAAACAATATGATCTCCATTTGGAAATCAGTTTAGATGAAGTACATTAATTACTATTATCCCATTTATTGGACTAGTTCAATTCTTTAAAGTTGAAAACAGCAATTGTGTCTGTTAAGAATGGGTAACATTATAGCTATAAGTAGTAAGACTCAGTCAGATATTAATTCCGATGTGATTAGTTTGTATATGCATTTCATACTTTCAAGAAAACACAACTGATTTATTTCAAAACAAAATATGTTCAAGTTTTAAAAACTATGTGCATCAATATATTTTACATTGTTTTTGCTAAATCCTTTCCTTAAATGTTTTGTAAGCTAAACTTTGTTCATTGCCAAACCTATTTTTCCGAAGAAAAATAACTTATGCAGGTAAAACAAAAGTTAGTGTACATCGTAGGTGATCTTTATTTTATTTCCATATTTGATCAAGATACGTATCTGCTTAAGAGAGATTTTTTCATGCATAATAAAGATCCCACATTTATGGAAGAAGTGATAGATGTAGCAAATGTGCAAATATAACAGTGAGTCTGAAGACAGTAACATAATATTAATGTTAGTCAATAATTCAATACTTTCAGTATTAAAAAACCATATTCTGTGATATTCTGTGTCTCTTACAAGGTTTCGGCTCAGTTAATTTAACCCTCTGTATGCCATAAGCATCTATAGAAGAAAGGATAGTTTCCATTTTGGATGCATGGCAGTTAACTGGTTAATCACATAGAGATGTCCACGGGCTAGCAATACAGATATTATTATACAGACTTGTCACGACTTTCATTGAAGCTACTAAAGATATGGGCAAAAAATTTTTAAATGGAAAAAGGTTTCAGTGAGAAAAAGACATATTTAGTTTGTTTTAAAATGACATTTATACTTTAGCAAGTTTTCAGTAGGATAAATGGGTAGTAAGAGTGCGAAGGAAAGCTCATTTTAGTACATCAAGTTTGTGCTAAAATACTGATTAGTCTGATTTATTCCTAAATCTTTGCTTTATATAAAGTACTGTGCTTCATATATGAAGCTTTCAATTTCTTTTAAAAAAGCAAAACTGTGTATATTTAAAATAAATGGAATTTTTGAGTAGTTTAATAATACTTCCTATTTACTTACTATTCAGGATCTGAAACAAGGTCCAACGCTTTCATCACATCTTCTAGAAGTGAATCAGGTATGAATCCATTATCTGGGGAGGAAATGGGAGCAACATAAAATATGAGTTTACTTCAAGAAATGCTATTACTGCTGATCAGATTCCAGTGAAAAATCATATAAAATGTATGTAAAGAGTTTAGAACAGCTTATTAAGGTTAGTTAGGTACCATGCCTATTATTCTTAGACATTATCTTATATTAGTTTTCCAGGGCACATAGGTAAGTATTTATTTTCAAGGTTAGTTTCTGAGAACTTGAAAGAAACCTTAAAGCCAAATTGCTTCTTAAAACAGGCTTACAAAGTTAAATGATAGAAGTTTGTTTCTACTTATAACAAATATTTAGTAATTGGGTATATCTTTCAACAAACAATGTGAACCTTTAAATTTCCTTTAAGAAATCAAGTTAAAGTAATTCTTTATTTTCAATATATTCCTTTCATCACAATGTTATTTAATTTTTTGAAGAATGTTAATGCTTTGCTGATATTTAGAAAACTGACAATATAAGAACAAGAAAAGATATCCTTATAACAGCCATGATTTAAATAAAAACTGTAGATTTAATGGGAAAAATTAGAAGTTGAAGTGCAGAGTAGGATCAAATGTCGATAAAGACTAGCTTAAGGAAAACAATCCTCTTCTTGGGCTTGATAAGGAAATAGCACTAGCAAATGGCCCAAACGCTAATGATGCAACAGAGTGTGACACACACAAAAAGCTTGCAGGACAGTGTGAAATAACAGTAGTTTTAAACAAACATGATGCTTATTCCCTTAAATGTACAGTGCCTGAGTTCTTCTACCCATTCACTCATTCCTGAAGACTGTCTCAGCTTTAAATAAACTTCTAACACAATATCCTTTTCAGGGATTAGACACTTTTTAAAAAAATCTTGTCAAGGAGAGCAAGATATCCAAAAGCCCTGCTTCCACAATCAAGTAACAGAATAAAGTGTAGCTGCTTTCAGCATGTGGCATGTGCTGTCTCTATCAGAAAGAAATAAAATAATTATGACTTTAAAATGGTGTTTTCTTAAACTGCATAAGCAGATATTTATCCATTTGAAGGTAGACTGACCCTGACTAAAAGGCTAAGTAAGGTTCATTTAGGGTAATTAAATAAATTTTAAAAAGTGAAGGTTTAGATTACACATGTGTCAAACACAAGGCCCGCGGGCCAAATCCGTCCCGCCAGACCTTGCAATGTGGCCCGCACCGCGCTGTCATCACTGCACTCCACTGCGTTTCCATCACAATGACAGTTCATGACTGTTCAGTAAACCATTCGGCCCGCGATTTAGGCTGGATTTTAGATTTTGGCCCCTTCTCTGATTGAGTTCGACACCCCTAGTTTAGAATAATTCCAACTTGTCCAGTTACTGGTAGTTCGAGGTAGAGCAATAAAGAACTTGTTCTTTGTAAGCCTAACTTTGATGAGTTTGAAATGTATCATAGAAAAAATATATATTTGTTTTGCTTAGTTACGTCACAGCCAAAAGTTTAGCCTCTCTGAACGCAAAACAGGCTTCATTTGGCCACTGCAGGCAGGAGCAATATCTACCACGGTTTCTGTGCTTGTGGGCTATCATGTGGATCCACTTGACAGAAGCAGTGGCATTATCCTGATCTCCAGGAGCAGTGAATGGCACAGCCTTATCTATTCTTGCCATAGTTCGAGACTCGGTCCCTCTCCCCCAGAAAGAGCTAATTGGCTGGATAAAGACACAAACAACAGCTAGGAAAACAACAAAGTGCTCTTCTTAACTCAAACACGACCTCAAGCTTAAATATCCCAATATATTTTTAAGGTATGTATGAGATTTACAACTTGTAAACACTTTCTGGAGTACAACAATAACTATAATAAGTCAGTGAGTACATTTTGTACATACGGAATTTTAAAACTAGAGATTGTAATATAAATTTCTCAATACCTCAAAGACTTAAACCAACAATTTTAAGAGGAGATCTGGAAACTGCTTATCTCTTTGAAACGTTTATTTTGGCATTACTTTATTTTTTACTCATACCTATCAAGAAAAATTCTTGATACAATTCTTGAAAAAGAACAGAATCATTAAGTCTAAAACCAGATGAAACTAGAACTTAGTCAACTAATTCCTTAGAGAGTATGGAAATACAGACACAATGATGATAACTACCTCAATACACAGCAAAAAACAGCAGAGGAAATCTAGGAAAATACAATTGGTTGACTAGTCAGCACACCAAAAAAGTAGAACTTGAATGCATGGGTAAGAACTAAATACATTAATATAAAAAGGACTTTTATAAACTTGAAAGCTTAGAGGAATGGGGCCCTGAAATGGGGAGAATTACAGAAGGCACAGCAATTGTGATGGTAAGCAACCTCTGTATAAATATTAGGATACAGTTAAATTGTATTTTAAAACATTTGGAAAAGAGAAAAAAGCTGTTTGTTTAAAAATAGGTTTTGTGTGTGTGTTTTTAAACAAGCAAACAGATTGCAAAAAGGGCCAAGCTCCTAGAGGTTGAGAGTAGAAATAGCTCAGTGCAAAGGAGTAGTGATGCACGGGAGTGGACATTAGTTAGGTGAGTTTGTTACTTCCTGGGTAAAAGAACCATTTCATAACTGTGCAGAAATCAGAGTTCGATTTTACAGAGAAAGAAGTGCCAGTCGTGGTTTCCGTTCTGAAAGATTAGGAAAATAAGGAAGAGCCTGAAGTGGGAGACTGTCAGATCCGTTTTAAGTGGGACACTAGCTAAACTGGGTGCTGCAGGAAGAAAGCAAATGTCAGGAATTAACAAAGGGCAAGACACAACTTGTGAAGAGGCTGGGGAAGGGGGAAACATTTGAGACGTAACATTTCCAAACAGCTGTAAGTTAGAGAGAGTAAAGCTACTTGGGAATAGAAAAAAAAATCAAGAGCTAGTCAGGGAAAACTTAATGCCACTTTAGTCAAAGAATTACCGTAGTAGTTGCTATATATTTACTAAATGTTATATTATACTTTACCTATTATTTTAAAAATTTAATAACATATATGTGACTTTTGCCCCTAGGCAAAGTTAATATATTAATATATTTTCATATTTCAGCTTTCCTTGGTTTCTCTGCCTTGGTATCACTACTGCTTTGCTTAGCTAGCTCCCAATAGGTGAGGAAATCCTGGATGGCAGGGATTCCATAAGTCCAGGGCCTAGTACAGTGCCTGAAACAAGTATCTGCTCAAAAACATTTGTTAATTTAATTATTCAAACTAGTCCTCACTGCAAGTTTCAAGAAACTACCTGTTCAGGCACCATAGTTTTTGTTTTTTGTTTTTTTTTAAGTTTTGTGAGTTGAACATATAAAGTTCAGAAAGAAATGAGTAATTAATTTATGGCCTGTGTTGGAGAACCACTTCTATCATGTGATGGAAAAACTGCAAAACAAACAAAACATGGTGGCAAGATACAGGAAAAACTATGGCAGAGATAGCATGAAAGAAACAGTGATGACAACACGACAGCACAATGAAGAAAAGCAGTGAAAAGGGAAGCAGCAAAAGTACAGAATGGACCTGGAGAGCATTATGCTGAACGAAATAAGCCAGTCAGAGAAAGGTAATATCATATGATCTCACTCACTTGTGGAATAAAATGAACATAAACTGATGAACAAATGCAAAATTTATTTTCATATGTATCTATGAGGACTCAATTCTGAAAAATTGCCACTGGTTATACTTTTATATTGGTAATATAAGAAATTCTAACTTCTCTTGTAAATTGGTAGAAGAAAATGAATAGTACAAGCCTGCTATCAATAATCAAAAAAAATTTTAAGCCCTAGCTGGTTTGACTTAGTAGATAGAGTGTCCGCCTATGGATCGAAGGATCCCGGGTGCAATTCTGATCAAGGGTACATGCCTGAGCCAGTAGGCGGCATGTAGGAGGCAGCCAATCAGTGATCCTCTCTCTTCACTGATATTTCTATCTCTCTCTCCCTCTCCCTTCCTCTCTAAATTCAATTTAAAAAAAAATTTAAAAATTTTTATTTTGCAAAAAGCAAACAAACATATTATTTATGACAATTGTATCCTACTTTTAAAACCTTAGTTTGCATCCTGATGGATTTTTTAAAAATCAGTGTTCTAACATTAGCTTTTAAGAAGTTCGGTAAATATCTGTAAATATTCTGTCTGTAAATATTCCTTGCACTGAAGACATTTCTTTATGCCTTTATTCAATAAATTATTATCATCTAAGATCTTTTGATCATTTCCTTAAATGTTTACTTTCTCAAGAAATTCATTCACTAAGTTTTAATTTCAGTTCTAAAATTTTCACCAATGAGCCTAAACCAGTTTGGCTCAGTGGATAGAGCGTTGGCCTGTGGACTGAAGAGTCCCAGGTTCAATTCCAGTCAAGGGCATGTACGTACCTTGGTTGCGGGTACATCCCCAGTGGGGAGTGTGCAGGAGGCAGCTGATCGATGATTCTCTCTCAACGATATTTCTAACTCTGTATCCCTCTCTCTTCCTCTCTGTAAAAAAATCAATAAAATTAAAAAAAAAATTTGTTTTTCACCAATGACACAAATGTAGGGGTATCTAAAAAGGCAGATCAGCCCTAACTGGTTTAGCTCAGTGGTTAGAGTGTCAGCCTTCGGACTCAAGGGTCCCAGGTTTGATTCCGATCAAGGGCATGTACCTTGGTTGCGGGCACATACCCAGTAAGGAGTGTGCAGGAGGCAGTTGATCTACGTTCCTAACTTTCTATCTCTTTCCCTTCCTCTCTGTATAAAATCAATAAAATATATATATTTTTTAAAGGCAGTTGACATGAAAACCATATGTTTGGTTTTGTAATCATCTATGGTGGTTATAGTGGGATAAGAATATGCTTGATATTGATATCTTAGACATTCACTTCAAATAAATATTAAGCAGCACTATTAAGACCTGACTGGAAACTCTGGGAATATATACAGTTTTTCCATCATGCCATCCTACATACTTCATCTTATTCCAGAATATTGCATTCTGGAAGGCTTTTATATCTCA